ATAAATAGGTGTTACCGTCTTTATAGGAACAAATGGTTTTAAAATATATATGGAGATGTAAATGCTTTAAATAACAGTAATAAAATACAGGAAATGTAGTCAATAAGATTTTAGTGATTACCAAGTCAATTTTAGTGCATCTACTTCAAATGTAACTATTCAACTATTGCATTATAAAATTGAAATATATATATATATAAAAACTGTAATGTTTATATATATATAAACATTACAGAAGTCAGCCAAGGAGCTAAAGGATTATTTATTCAGCTCATGGATCTGTTTGAATTTTGCATGGTCTATTGGAATAATAGCAGCTGTCTAAATTGCAGGGAAGAGGGCATCCCAGTCTCTCTCCCTTTCCCAATAAGGTGATTATCCTATATTTGGAAACTGGTACAAAGTTAAGTTTTACATCACTGAGCTTATTTCCTATTTTGATTATTATATTTCTTCTTTGCAGTGGCCAATTATTGTTTTGGGTAATAAAACTGACCTTTTGGAGGAAAGACAAGTACAGAGTGAAGTTGCACAACAGTGGGCTAGGACTGAGACAGTGAAGTTATGGGAAGTGACAGTAACGGATAGAAGGACAATGATGGAGCCCTTTGTGGTGTTAGCAAGCAAACTTTACCAATCACAGAACAAGTCGGTGTTTTCTTTCTACCGTCGGAGACACAAATTCAATAAGGAAGATTACTGAAAGTTCTTATGTTTCCCACTGGGCCAAGAATCTGCTGCGGCTTTTGTATTTCCAGAGTTGTTCATTTCTAGAGCAACCAAAGCAGCTCTCACAGATCAGGAAGAGAATGGCATCTGAAATCACTTCATAAAATCACTGAAATGATCATGGTTGTCTGTATTCAATTATATGTTCGGGGAATGTAAGCTGGAGAATGCTTGAGTGCAGAAAAAAAGAAAGAAATGGCATTCTAGGGTCATTGGTAATATTGCCACTTCACTTACCACTTATCAAAAAATCTAAGGGTATTTCAGAAAAGAAATGAAAGAACAAGGTGAAAAAGTTGTTTCTTTTGATCATAGATTGTATAGCTTTATTCATTGTTACGACTTTGAGAAATAACTTGTGAAAAAGAGAAGCTAACAGAGAATTGAGTGAAGCATAAGCATTTCACCTTTATTACCTTTATTATAGTATGCTAATACTGTTAGCATCGATGCTTTTGGATGAAACACTATTATTTCTATCATCAAGCAGCCATTCATCTCAGGTAGTGTAAAACAGTGATCATTAGCATTGCTAAAAATTGGGCTAAAGAAAGAAAAAATAATTTCCAATCACTTCATACATACATGGGGAAAATTTTGGTCCCATTCCCCAATTTCAAAACCCACTAATATCTGTCCCTGTATAGTGACAGCAGCCTCATGAAAAGGATAGGACAGCATCAGAAAAAAATAGTAACTTGGTTCATTTAAAAGGCTATATATAGCAGGACTTCTCACTCTCAGCAACTTTAAGAAGTGTGGATTTTGAAAAGCACAGAACTATGTTAAGAGTATTTGATTCTGGCTTAGGGTTTTGTTTGGCCTAGGTATTCCATAAACTATGATTTATGGCTTAACATATCAGCTGAAATCAGCCAGTAGTAATTTATTAAGTCTGTACAGGAAAAAGAAGAGCATTACTATGGGAAAGGATTGCTCCATCCAGTTTTAGCTCTAAGCAATCTACCTCTTATTTCAATTGTACTCATTGTTGCTGTGCAATTAAGTGCCTTAAAAATAGTATACTGACATAAAAGCAAATGAATACAGAATTTAAACCTAGGGAAGTGGAAAGATCTTTTTACAAAAATAACATGAAGATAGGTACAAGTTGAGCTTCCCTAGAAAAAGAAGTAGTAGCATTCCTAACTATACTTTTCCTCATAGCTATATTCTGCATCACATAAAGATGATTTTATCAACTAATCACAAACCTAGATCAAAATTCTCCAGAATTCCTAATTGATGTGGCTAATCACACTGGCTGGATGTTTTAGGAACTGTAGTCCCCAACAAATCAAGACAGTGCTACATTGAAGAATTCAAAAGAGCTAGAGTTATTGTGGCTTTATACTATCACAATATAACAGAAGTTCTCACCCACTTCTCGTAAACGGAATCTGTAGTTAGATTTGTATTTTCACAATTTTCATTACAATTCTCAAGGATACAAAATTCAGTTAGAAAGTGGGTGGCTAATTGGGCTGAAATTTCTCAAAATATGCAGTATAGAAATTGATCAAAGTTTCTTTTCTTTCCATCCAGGAATAAAATATTTGAAGGCCTAATGTATATTTTAAGCACATTTTTTGAATTTAAATAACATGAGGGAAATATCTAGGGTTTAAATTACAGATTGAATAAAGATTTTGACTTCATTCTATTTACATTGCACATTGAAATGGCTCTGATCTGTTTATATAATTTACTCATAAATTGTCCTTCAGTGCATTTTGTAGAATGACAGTGTTTATTTGTAGCATCATAATAAGCAGTTAACCTGAATTTTATAGAATTATTCATTCTGGGCCACTAGTGAATTGTCCTGCTTCAATTACTATTAAGTGAAAGCCAATTTGAATTATGTTCACTTCAGATAATATTTTCGGCACTATTAAAAGAAAAAAGGAACTTTTTTGATAAAGATATTAAGTATGTTAGCACTTTCGTATAGATGGATACTAAGACAAAAGGGAAAAGCTATTCCCACTCCCCTTCCAAATATGTCAAGCAACAATGGCCTGAAATCACAATAAATAGCTTTAATGTTGAACTGCTAGGGAAACTCTAGGTTTAAGTACTTAGGACAGTGATGGCGAACCTATGGCACGCGTGCCAGAGGCGGCACTCAGAGCCCTCTCTGTGGGCACACCTGCCGCCGCCGCCAGCTCGTGCAGGTCCATTAGGCCACCGCTGGCACCTGGACCGGCAGCCCCACCCAGCACAAAGGAGGCGAAGCAACTGGCTAGCAAGCTCGAGTAGAGGTGGTAGAGCACGCCCCCATGCACTCGCTGGCCTCTTTGTGCGGGGGCTGCAGCTGCCCCTGCCTCACCTTGCCCCATAGCAATGGCACCCCCGCCCTATCCCTTGCCTCACCCCGCAAGACGAGCCCCCTGCCCACCGCCCGACCCACCAGAAACCCCCTGGATCTCCCCCAATCCTGCCCAGCCCCACAGGCGTTCCCCCACAAGCAACATCAAGGTGGCCATGTCCACCCCGGCCACGTCCACTCAGTCTGCCATCACCACCGCAGCCACTCCCACCCAGTGGGCCACACCCCCTCCCCCCCCCCCGAGGGCACCACAATGCTGATGCAGCCCTGGCACTTTGAGATAAATAATTGGGTTTTGGGTTGCAGTTTGGGCACTTGGTCTCTAAAAGGTTCGCCATCACTGACTTAGGAGATGATCCAACTTGCAAAAAACAACAGATTGTTGGATAGGTAAGTAAGTCTACCTTCTTGCCCAGGATTTCATAACCTGTTAAAGCCTTTTCATGTAACTTTTTGTTATGTGACCTGGAAACTATTTCTTTTTTTTTTTGTAGGATTCATTTATCATGAATAGATTACATTGTCTGTTATACCGGGGTCCCCAACCCCCAGTTTCTGGACCGCTACTGAATCACAGTCTGTTGGGAACCAGGCTGCACACGTAGTGGGAGAGTGAGTGAAGCTTCATCTACGCATACATGGGATCTAGGTTGCACATGCAAAACCACTTACCCTTCCGGTCCATGGAAGACAATTTTGTTCCAAAACCGATCCCTGGAGCCAAAAAGTTGGGGACCGCTGTGTTACACACAACCAACAGATGTATTCCAGAAAGAAGTATCAGTAGGGGGTTTGTACATATTTTTATTAGCACAGTAACAAATGCAGACTTAGATAGCCCACAACATACAACCAATCCACTGAGTAACTCCTATTCCACGCCTTACAGTTAAACAGCTTAAGGTATTTCACTACAGGTTGCTCCAAGTCCAATTAAAACCTTTATTTTCACAAAGGTAACTTGGCATAGAAAAATGAATCCATGAACTATTTTCCCTATGCTAGGGGACACAATAATCTAGCTGCACCCCTATATTTGAACTTAATGAAAGGGTAGTCTTGTAAAAGATGTGTTAAATATGAAACTCTCCCACCTCCCCTAGGGAAAATATTCCCAATATTGTTTTACAAATAAAACCAAGTTAAAAGAAAATGCAAGCCTTCTTGCAAGAAATTTTACAGAAATGCCAAATATATGTACCCATAAATTAAGCTGTTGTATTATTTTTTTTATCTATCGCAACCAAACATCCTTTCCCACCCTCATCCAATTGTCAGATTAGTTTACATTCTTCTTGGTGCTATAGCAGAGCTACTATTGCTGAACTAATGACAGTCTTAAAATATGCTAGTCCCATTCTAGCTGTCTACTGTAGCAAGATACCTTAAGTAACAACAACAAAATTTCAGGAAATAAAAGACTGAATAAATTCTGTTATAGAAATACCCTACTCTTTTTCAGTTTTTCCCCTTCCCTGTCCCACCCCTTCAAAATCATAAGCAGCTCTTTCTGTCACAGATGATTTAACACAAAGATATGACAAAAATCCAGTTTATGTTGCGTATCTCTTGGTCCACTGTCTGGCCATTCTGTCGTGCTCTGCTCTGTTAGTCATATACTGAGTTGCAATACTTCCAACAAGGGGATCAGCTGCAAAATAAATAAAACAAATGTAATAGATCAGATATGATGAAGACTCTTAGAACATTGCTTTAATGAAAAATATTTGTGTGACTTTTTAATTACAATTTTAGAATTTAAGTACATTTTCCATTCAGGCCAAGAATGGGAAGGGGAATCTGGTCTTTCAGATGTTGGCAAAGGCAAACCTTTATTCTTTTCCACTAGACTTCACAGTGCTTTTTCAACAATAGCCATACTTGCTGAAACTGTTGGCAATCATACAGTAGTTAACAACACTGCATCTCTGTTAGGCCCATGCACATCAAAGACCTACTATAATAATGGGACTTGCTGGACAACTGTGTTTCCATAGATACAATACATTTCTGTCAGTCCTTTAAAATATGTCTCACAACAGCAAATCCTTCTGGAGATAATGATGACTTTAACAAAGGCTGTAATCCTTCAGTGTAAACACCATCAATGGGGATATTCCACTTCTTATTAATTTTGTGGAAATGATAGAATCATCACTGGATTTTGAAAAATTTCATTTTGTAGGTTTTTAAAATTAATTTTTGGAAGTTATGTCAATGCAATGGAATATACATGGCATTCTAACCAATAACAATTCTGTTTGAGTTTTGTTTTGAATTTGCTGTTCTTCAAGACAGGACAGATAATCCTTGTTCAGGGACCACTCAAAGTTATGACATAGATGAACAAGGAAACATATTGTTCCTCATAGTTGTGGCTGTTACAGCGTTCTTGTGATCATGATTTAGATGCTTGGCAGCCAGCTTGCAATTGTGACATAGCATCCTACAGTCATATGATTGTGATTTGTGATATTCATTGCTGGCTTCTGACAAGCAAAATCAATGGGGAAGTTGCAGAAGGTTGCAATGGCAATCACATGATCACAACATACTGCAATTAGAATAGAATAATAACTCTATTGTCACTTTAAATGTACATTATTCAGCATACATTAACATGAGATTTTATTACATAACAG